CAAATACGTGCAATGAAATACAATGGCTTAAGTTTGCCATTTTACTAATTTTATAACCTTTAGTCTTTTCTGCTGATTTGCTGTTAGATCTCTATTCTTGGCTCCTCCCTGTCATTGTCTGTTTATCATTTCCAAAATCAATTTCTTCCTCTGTTGCCTTTACTGCACTTTTTGATTCACCCCATCTTCCCAGATTTGGGCCCTTACACCCTTTTTAAAAATTTAAAACCCGCTCTGCTTCTCTAGTTATGCAGTTCACAAGAACACCAGTCCCAATATAGTTCAGGTGTAAACAGTCCCAATGGTACAGATCCCAAATTCCCCAATATTGTTGCCAGTGCCCACAAACCTGAAATCAATTCATCCACACCAGCCTGTCAGTCATGTAATTGTCTCTCTAAACTTGGTTACCATTCCTTCAAGGTTCTGCTTCTTAAAATAGTGTCTATCTCCTCATACTGGATATGCAGAACTACTTTCCTACTTCTGTCTATGTTATTAGTTCCTACATGGACCTTGTTAACTAGATCCTTCCTCTCCCACTACAAGTTCTTCTCCAGTCCACAGCAGGTATCCTGAATCCTGACACCAGGCAAGTAACAAAGCCATCTGGATTCACTCTCTTTGTTGCAGATAATAGTATCAATTCCCCTCACTATGCTGTTCCCTATGACCATTATATTCTTTTTGGCTCCCTGGCTTGAATGGCTTGCTGTAACGCAATACTATGGCTATTTAGTTCATTCATCCCATGGACCCTGCTCTTGTCCCATCAAGCTGAGAGAACCTCAAACCTGTAGGATGATTACAGAGGCTGCACTTCTGTTCTCAGGCTTCCCTTACCTGCCTCACTTACAGTCACACCCTCCCATCACTGACCACTGATAATATCAGAGCATTTGCCCTAAGAGGAATGACTGTCTTCTGGTACAAAGAATCCAGCTAAACTCCCCCTTCCCTGACACATTGTCTGTAGTTCAGCCTTCAGCTCATTAACCCTGAGTAGAAGCTGGTCAAATTTCACTTACTACAGATATGTTTGTCCTGAATCACAATAAATGCCCAGAAACTGATCTCTAACATACTGCAGCTTCGACACAGCACCTGTTCTGCCATACTTAATGGGTTTCTAATTAATTATTTAGTTGCATAGTTCATTTAGTTATGTCAATTTTAAAAATTGTTTTTTCATATTATGCTGACATGACTACGAATGTGTATTCTATGTTAAACCTCAGGAACAGAATAGGCTTTAACAAATCAACGAATACTCATCAAACAGGAAGCATAATCAAAGACCACTCCCACCCCAACTGTAATCTCTTCCAACCTCTTTCATCAGACAGAAGACATAAAATCTTAAAGGCACATACCAACAGATTCAAGAACAGCTTCTTCCCCGGTGTTATCAGACTTCTGAATGGACCTCTCAAATTTTAAATTTATATGCTGATCTTGCTCTTTGTGCACCTTCTCTGCAGCCATAACATTGTATTCTTTGTTCTGTTCCATTAACTTAATGCACTTTGTACGGTATCATCTGTCTGTGTTGCATGCAAAACAAAACTTTTCACTGTACTTAGGTATATGTGACAATAATAAATCAAATCAAATCAAATCAAGCTCCTTTTCCTATTGTGCAGCAAGAACCAATTCCTATCTGTCAATTCTCTACTTTGTGCTGACATCACTTTTGTCATAGGTGGTGTCTGTACTTTCTCCCTAAGTGTTTTATCTGGTGTCCACGTTTCTCTTTCCCAGTGTTTTATCTGGTGTCGCTGTCTCTCTCTCTCTTCCAGTGTTTTATCTAGCATCCACACTCTCTCTGTCTTCCAATGTTTCATGTGGTGTCTGCTCTCTCTCACTTCCAATGTTTTATCTGGTGTCCACACTCTTGCTTTCTCTCCCAATGTTTTATCTGGTGTCCATGTCTCTCACAATGTCTTAAATAAGAACATAAAATATAGAAGCAGGAGTAGGTCATTTGGGCCATTGAGTTTGCTCTGCCATTCAATAAGATAATCGCTGAACTTTTCATGTACTCAGCTCCACTTACCCACTCTCTCACCATAACCTATAATTCCTCTACTATTCAAAAATCTATCTATCTTTGCCTTAAAAATATTCAATGAGGAAGCCTCAACTGGTGCACTGAGCAGAGAATTCCACAGATGCACAACTCTTTGGGTGAAAAAGTTCCTCCTCTACTCAGTCCTAGATCTGCTTTCTCTTATTTTGAGGTTATCCCCTCTACTTCTAATATTACCCGCCAGTGGAAGCAACCTCCCTCCTTCTATCTTATCTATTCCCTTCATAATTTTAAATGCTTCTATAAGATGCCCCCTTCATTCATCTAAATTCCAATGAGCTAAGTCTCAGATTACTCAATCTCTCCTCATAAGCCAACCCTCTCAACTCTGGAATCAACCTAGTGAACCTCCTCTGCACTCCCTGTAATGCCAGTACATCCTTTCTCAAGTAAGGAGACCAAAACAGTACACAGTACTCCAGGTGTGGCCTCACCAGCACCCTATACAGCTGCAGTATAACCTCCCTGTAATTAAACACCATCCCTCCAGCAATGAAGGACATTAATTACCTGCCACACCTATAAGCCAACCTTCTGTAATTCATGCACAAGGAGACCCAGGTCCCTCTGCACAGCAGCATGCTGCAATATTTCACCATTTAAATATAGTACATTTTGCTGTTATTCCTAACAAAATGGATGACATCACATTTACCAAAATTGTACTCCATCTGCCAGACCCTTTCCCACTCATTAAACATATCTGTATCCTGTACAGCCTTTCAGTGTCGTCTGCACACTTTGATGTACCACTCATCTTAGTGTCATCTGCGAACTTTGACACACTTGGTCCCCAACTCTAAATCATCTGTGTAAATTGTAAACAGTTGCAGTCACAATGCTGATCCCTGCGGCACATCACTAGCCACTGATTGCTGACTAGAAAAACAGCCATTTATCCCCACGCTTAGCTTACCTGTTGCATGTACTCTCGATACTAAGCTAAGCTGGAATGTGTGCTCTGAGGATGCTGTAAAACATTTTCTGGGAGACTTCATGATTGGGCAAAAACATAGTAGAGGGAACATAATGTAGAAAAATGTGAGGTTATCCAGGTTGGTAGAAGGAACAGATGTGCAAATTATTTCTTAAATAATGAGAGATTCAAAAGTATAGATGTGCAAAGGGACTTGGGTATCCTTGTCACTGAAATCAAGTACAGCAAACCTTAATGAAGTCTAATGGAGTTTTAGCTTTTATTGCAAGAGGATTTGAGTGCAGAAGCAGTGAAGTTTTGCTTAGATTGCATCTGTAGTATTGCCTGCAGCTTTAGTCTCCTTATCACAAGAAAGATAATATTGCCATTGAGAGGATGCAATAAAGGTTTACCTGCCTTGTACCTGGGATGGTGGGATTATCCTATGAAGGGACATTGGGCAAACTGGGTCTATTCCCCAGAATTTTGAAGAATGAGAGGTGATCTCTTTAAAACCTGCAAAATGCTTGAAGGGATAGACATGGTAAATGCAGGTCAGATTTCCCCTCAATGGGGAGACCAGAATGGGGGGTGGAATGTGTGTGTGTGGAGGGAGCAATTTAAGAAGGGCCAATAATTTAGGACCAAGATGAGGCAAATTTGTTTGTTTTACTCAGCGAGTGGTGATTCTTTGAAATTATCTACTTCAGAGGGCGTGGAAGCTCAGTTTTTGAGTATATTTAAAGTAGAAATTGAAAGATATCTGATTACCAATGATGTAAAGGGGTATAGAGGTAAAGTGGGTAAAAGGCATTGAGCGATCAGCCATGACGGGCTGAATGGCCTCCTGCTATTCCCATATGCTTATGTCCTTCCTATGCCGACGCAATATTGTCATCTCTTTTTGCCAAATTTGCTTTAAATCTAGATCTTCCGGTTACCGACTGTCCCGCCAGCGGAAACATATTGGTACGGACTATATTCAGTATTTTTAAAACCCGTGCGTTTTATCCCCAATCTTTATCAATCGACCAAGCTAATATGGCCTTAGTTAATCTTAAAAGTTCACAATAACAAAGAAACCCAGGACAATTAAAGTGTATCTTTAACCAAAAACACATTCGATCGTATCGAGGTCACAGTATATTTGAATTCATGTAAGTTGTCCTCGTTGTGTTAGGGAGCAGGGCACATAGAAACATCTGCAGGTGAATAGGTTGAAAGAGCACACAGAGAGTCGTGTGAAAGCATTGAATGATTAGAGCACGGAAGGAGCCAATTGGGCCGTCGTGTTCATGCTAATTCCTAGTTCCATTAGGTCATATTTTTTCGGTTCGTATTTGTCGTTTATTAAATATGGGGGGAAGATGACCAAATGCTTTGACTCCGCAGTAAATGGTGGACGGACTAGTAATGTTATACTGAACTACATCGTTTACAGGGTAACTTTGCACAAAGTCAAAGCGAGGATACAAGAAAGATGAAATTAAAAGTCTGCTCCCCTGTGATAACATTTGAAGGCGAGCTGCAGCGATAGCAACTGCTCCTTCATTTTAGTTCAATCGTGAGATCGCATCAGTTCCTACAAAGATAAGTTGTTTCAAATACTCCCCTCCCTAAAAAAAAACTATTAACGCTGGAAATGTCTCACGCTCGTCTTCGAATCTCGTCCTTGTGGGCTCCTAAACAATAAACAGAAAAATCGACCAAAGATTGGGCACACGAATGCCTTTTAGGTTAAGAACAAAAAAAATCGATTTTTGGTTTAACACAATCGCCGGATTTCTGCGAATAAAGGCCAGAGCATATTTTCCTGTTGAAGTAGATTTGAAAATAAACACGACTGACCTCGACGTACCTAGTTGTGAGGCTACAGGAGGTGGTCCTGATGTGGAAACTTCGAGATTGGAAGTGGGTTATTTTGATTTTTGCAAAGAAAAAAAAAAATAGCAGTGCTAAACTTAGCGGAGTGCCAAGAACGGGATGGGAAGGAACATGCTTTCCAGTGGATGGAAATACAGAAAGGAGAGCAGTTAAAACTCTCAGAATAGCCCGCACGACTGAGAATAATTCTGTCCAAAGGTCAAAGTTCAAGATATTCTAATTTCAGGCGCTGCACACTTCCAGCTTTTACCATTTTAACAGAATGATTTTAACTAACTGGGTTTCAAATTCAAAATGAAATGCTCCGTGACAGTGAGTAGGTACGAGTCTATCATTCCTACTGAAGCCGGTAAATGTAACCCTCTGGAGCCATGATGAGACTGCTTAGAAGATATCAGAGGATTTCGAACAGTATATAGCGTACTGTGTCACATACAATACGAGAAAGGAAAAATACACAATTCGGAAATCATTCCAAAGGTACGTGGGCTCCCCTTGACTATCGGTTAAATAATATGCCAGGCCTTTTTTTCAATCTTCAATGCAGAAACTGAAATAATTGACAGAAATAATCAACGATGTTACCATGCATTTCAGGAAACAGAAGAAAATGATCTGGTTCAGTTTGGTAAAAAGCTTCGAGATAAATGCGGTTCCGTTTATATAATTACCAGACATGCCAATAATTTGTATTGGTGCTTCGTTTTTTAACCAGTTCCCATTTATCGAAAGTCAGCTTCGAAACTTTACTCGATGGTAAGAGGTAGCTTAATGGTAATTTAATTACCGTGCGCTGTGTAATAGCGTGGCGTCACATTGTTAAATTTCAACGTGTTTGAACGGAGCCTGAAATCTTGCATTTTCATTGATATTTAGAAAAGAAAACTTGGGTCAACTAAGATGGCACATATTTAAGAGCCGCTAGATTTCCAACATACCTTTCTTCCTATGAGTAATTGACTGGGCTTTTACTGTAGTAGTAATAGCTGCAAAAGAACAGAAAATTTAACCACTGCTGGGAACGGCTTATGCTTCTGCTAGTCGCTGGCTCACAGCTTCAAGATATAGAGTCGACTATTAGTATTCATATTTTTTAGCTTCCGTAACGTTTGAGAGGAATTCAGTCAAAGAAAAAAAAGGCTATGATAAGCTATTTCCTCAATTGAAGGTTATTAATGCTACAAATAGTTTACAAACAGGACCGGCAGTATGATATCAATGGTTGCTGTGAGGCAATATTGCGACCATGTGCAATATCACCCGTTTCCTACAGGCGGCGGTGTTTTACCAACCTTTCCAAAAAAAGCAGACGATTGGTTTAATTTTCACGTCTTGCCCTTCAACTAACCTTTGCTTTTGTAGTTTGTGTGTAGATGTAAGATTGTATGGAATGCACAGACATCAAATAAATATTTCGCTAGAAATCTGCTTCTCACAAATGATTCCGATGTTTATTTAATAAAAGTACACGTTGATTTAACGATTAATCGAAATTCGAAACTGATTGGGAAAATAAGTTTTAAATCGAATATTTCAGAAAGAATTGAAAAAGTGCACGCATTCTGCTATAAGGTAACTTCGTCCCGAGTTCATGGTGCTATTTGCTTTAATAAAGCAGACACAATGCCCAACTAATATTTCAAATCAAGTGTGGTGAAAATTGTCTTCAGGACCTTGCGATAAAGTAAAGTAAAATGTATATACTTTTCGAAAATAACAACAAGGTTGCTCGTTCTTTTCAAAATGTTGGTCAGTTGGAAGAGTTGTAAAAGATTAGAGCATACCCTATTCATCCAGAGTTTGCAATAGTGATCATTACTTGTTGCAAAATGCACGCGTAGTGTCCTTTAAAAAATGCGGTACAGTTGTAAGAGGACACCAAATTAAAGTTATGATTTTCCATGCAAAATCAATGCAAAATGGTGTTAAAGTGATCCGCAGTTTGGATGCCCCATTGGTATTGATTCAGAACTGACAATGTATGGTAGGAGCTCAGTTGACAATAACACTGTAAAGAGCATGTAAACTTCCCAATCGTCTCAATACTCCACAGGTATAATGGTAATTTGGGACTCCAGCCTAAATCTAATTTAAAACGGCGCCTTAACCTTTTCGGCTGCTCGATGACGCTGGCTAGTTAACACTTTAAATACAATTGCCTCTCTCACATCTGAAAGAAAGAGTTATTGAGCATCTGAAGAAGTGGCTCATTTGTCTCCTTCCTTTCCCCTTGTAACCGCCTCTGCTGATTTGTCCGGTTTCTTCGCTGTGCTACCGTGTGGAAGGGTTCTTTGTTCAAAGGACATGCAAGATTATTGTAAACCACACACCAGCTACAATTCCCATGCAGCATAACGCACCTGACTCATTTATACACCTACATAACCGAGTCAAATATTCCAAAAATGTACTGTTTTGAAACCAGGAATTGATGTTTGAAGGCAGTTACAACGATGGGGGTAGTTCAGAGACAATTTTGAACTCATACTTTTATTAAAGCAAGGCCATATTCTCACGACCCTTCAAATGCAATGCAGGCATGGTGGGGCAGACTGTACCGATCTCACATTAATATAAATTATTCGGGTTACATTAAATGTTCATAACTGTGATAAATCAGTATCTAGGGAGTATCATAATAATCAGAGACTCGTCAGGTGCCGCTTGACTTGTTTGAGTCAAGGTGCTGATTTGTTACCTGTCATTTTCTGGTCTTCAGCATTTTTTCTTTAAAAAGAATGTGGTCACTGGTTTAAAAAAGGGTCTTAAACGAGCTCCCGAAGATAGTGCTGAGATTCGACTTGCGCCTTTAATAAATAAACAACGCGCAAAAGATTGGCTTCCTGCTTAAAAAAATATCAGTCGCAACGGCCTTTTCTTAAGTTAAACAGAGCCCAACAGTCAAAGGAAATGCTCTAAAATTAGTATGTGAAAGAATAAATGCTTGTTTTAAAAGGTCCATTGCTTATATACACACAGCCTGCCTACATACGGCAATTGTCCTTCCAACACGCGTTATTGTGAAAGGCTAATTTTGGGTCACGACTAGATGTTGTTTTAAATGTATTCGGATGGCAGTGGGTATAAAGACATAATCACGCGACTGAGACCTGGAAACCATCCCGCAGAAATAACCGGCATCTTCTTCGCGCTCCTTAAATCCTATGTGGCATGGTCCTCAACTGTAAAGACTGAACGCCAAATCGTTCTTTCATCGCTAAGCAATGTTTTGAACTCCTGTTTAAAACATTTAAATATTTCGTAATAAAAATACAGAAAAAAGTGCTAGCAATATTCAGCAAACCGGGCAGCATCTGTGGCTTTTCCTATTTCAGATTTCCAGAATTGTCAGCATTTCCTTTAGGAAATAGTTAACATCGCGGTTAATCAAAAATAGTGCGTCTGCTCATTCGAATGAATAGGCAAACATGCATCAACTTTATAAATAATTATAAACATTTCTACTTTACAGAATCTATTTAGTTGAAAAGGCAGTGGACTTTATTGAGAAGACGTTGGCCAGATAAACAAGACCATTATGTAAATACAGTGCGAAAATCTCAATGATTTTATTCTAACATGATCGATGTAAAATGATTATTTATTGACAACAGTCTAACAAAATTATTTTATTGGCCAATCATATTTTGGAAGCGGACACGAGGCACAAAGGCCTTAAGACAAGCGTAAACAAGACTTTTCTGGCGTGATTGGGATGGTGCAGCACTTATCTTTCATCAAGCTTATTTGTAAAACAAGCAGAGAGAGTAAGGCACCGAGAGAAGTAAAACTATGAGTTAAAACAAAAATCCTCATCCCTTATCGTTAGTTTCCAGAACATATGACAAGGGGTTGGATTTAATATGACCGAAAACTGAAACTAACGCTCGAGTTGTGAGTTTTCCGGACTTTTTATTGGATCAAAGAAGGACCGGGTTAAAATCGCAGCCATGCCACATTCGTGTAAACTGTAACATTAGAAATCGAAGTCAAACATTTCCGAAATGCACAAACAAAAAAAAGTTGCAACAATTCAGTAAACGACGTTTCACTTAACTAAGATGCTTTTTATTAGTGTTGATATGAACCATTTCGTGAGCGGTATCCCTTAACCGTCAAGCACCATTCATCAAGTTTGATTTTTCGAGACTCGCCACAATCTTGAGTAAAGATATTAAATTTGTGTGCCTACTTGTAAGACACACATTTTCGCTGCGCGCAGTGAGCATACGACAACCATTGCAGCGCTAATTGCCAACTTCAGATAAAGCAAAGGAATAACTAAAGTGAACCGTCTTTTACAAACATTGTTACATCTCAACAGCAAGCTTTCGGGAGTACAGTCTGCGCGGATTATTTATTATTCCGGACGTTTACAGATTCGACCAGACTTTTGGTCGTTACTTGAGAGAAAAAAAAACGTGCAAATTTTTGATATAGGAAAGAATGTTAGTCAAAAAATAAAACATAATTTGTCTTGTTGTTCACAATTCACCGTGAAAAGAAAAAAAATGCATTTACATCGGAAGTATCGTAAGGGCTGAAATGTCAACTGAAGCTTTTTAACAGCAGTTGATTTGACATTCCAATGCAAGAAACGCAACCATAACATTGGATTTATCTTATTCAGGGTCACTGCTTCAGATTTTGATTTGCTTTTAGGAAATAATCCACAATGGCCGAAATACTGTCGGTGGGTGGACGGGGGTTTTCCCCTGCTTTGGGGTAAATGAAAGAGCTCTGGTTGGAGTCTCACTCATTCCGAGTCTGCAGTTCCACGGCTTGAACCGAACCTGAAACGATTGTTTGAAATAAAATGTGAGGCTGAGGGGCTGGCCTACAACCTACTACTCCCCACGAATACCAGTCAAGCTGAATGTGGCGTATCTGAATTTTTTTTTGGGGAGGGTGCAAGTCTCAAAAAACGGTTTACATTTAATGGTTGGTTGTTGTTTATAAAATAAAGCGAGTGACAAATGAAAACAGATTGAGTTAGCTCTGTCTGCTCTCTTTGTCTGTAACCTAAACACTGGCGGGCTAATTTACTCTTTTATAAATTGACACGGGTACACCTATTCACCCGCTCAGTTTCTATTAACATTGCAGTTGATCACATCGGACGACGTGGAAGAGGAATAGGCGCGGGATCTCGCTAACTTAAAGTGAATCGGGCAAAGCACATAACTTGTCAATTCCGTACCGGTATCTTTGATTGTGTTCAGTTTAAAACGAAATAGTTGCGATAGGATTGTCGCCTTTCCTGATCAGTAACTTTTGCGACAAACGCCGCTTATTCCTGTTAAACAAATTGTGTGTGTATATGTGTGTGTGCGTGTTTATTGTCTGCTAACTCTCCGTTCTCCTCGATAAATGTTTCAATCTCTGGATTAACAGAAAGAGCTAAATTGGAGTTTTAGAAGGTTTTAACCAAAACTTCATGCCATCGCCCGCCAGTAAACAATCTCCTGCATTAACTTGTT